ATCCGCATTAACCCTGTACATTTCGAGAATTTTATCATACAAAAAAACTGCTTTCAGTGGAAAATATAATAGTGAATGCGTTTCGTCTTTCTCAGCCTCATTCTCCTCCTCCGTTCACCATTCACATCTTCGCCCCGCACTCGATTAGAAGGCTGGAATTCCTATTTTGCTCGTGAGGCGAAAATATTCAAAACTTTTTCCAAAAGCATTGTATAATTTCAGCCATGCAATTTAATCTCTGTCGCTGTAGACGGTTCCTTTAGCCTTCTCCTGTTAGCAGCCACTAAACGTCAGGTGGTAAATCAGAACACAAGCATCACTTCTACTCATTGATGACCGTTCACCCGACCGCTAACAGAACTCATCCGCCCCGCTCTGCTAGGGTCTCGACAGAGGCCCTGGCTGCCACTTGAGTCTGGGTGTGACTCTGGCTAATAAGTCCAGAATGGCCATTCCACTCTCCCTCGCCTTTGGTGACAATACTAGCTGCCATCAGTTCTACGTCGGAACACGTGAGCACAGACACACTCAGTTAACCCTTGCTGATTATTGATTTTTCAGGATTTTGCAACTGACTGTCCAAGCATGGCTGCTGAATGTCAAGTGAACTGTCAGCCTGCGACCGCCTCGTTATAACCTGCAAAGCTGTTTCCTCTTCCCTCCTGCGCGAAGTACATTTTCAGGGCAATAATGACGCAGGTCTGGCGGAAACAAGTCACGAGTCTTGTTCGGTTGGGTAGCACTTGTTTCGAGGTCACAGTGAGTGAGCAAAGCCAGCCAGTCCGCCACCGCCATAAAACCCCCTGACACACCACATCCTGCGTGACTCGGAAAATGGAGATTTCTAACCTGAGATGTGTGTGCATACGTTTAACCCACAAAGCAGACTCATCCACTTCGTGCACATTGGTCCTTGCTGCCGACGCACTGGTCAGGAATGTTGTTGTACATGACGCGTATCTAAGGCCGCTTTTACCGCAGTCAGCAGTCGCATAGGTATTTTAAGCAGCCGTTTCCGAGTTTGTGGTTAAACACCCGTCGGCGACCACCATGGAGGGAGATAGAGTTATGACGGAGTTTGAGGCAATCGATGTCGACCACAACGGTTTTATTACGCGTCCCGAACTGACCAACTACGTGAAACGCAATAAGCTCGCACCCGATATGGTTGATGTAAGTCGCTTGGACGCTACATACATGTTTAAGACTGTTAAAACTTTGCCTTTAAACCGTCAGATGCAGTATCGAAGACATTTTTCCTAGGCTTAAGAAAAATAACGATGGTAGTGATGTTTCATAGAGAAATTTGAACACAGCAATAGGGCTCTCCGTACGCGTGAATAAGCGTTAAAATTGTATTGTAGAGTAAGATATAAAATGTCCGTCGCCAACTATTCTATTTTTTTGATATTCAAAATAATTCAGTCATATTTACGGGCAATATTTGCCACAGTGGAATTTTGTTTTCTGTTAACCCTTTCGAAATGCATCTTTAAGTAAATTTTGAATTTAACGCTAAACTTGTTTTGTTTTTACCATTTATTGACTACTACTTTGGCGAAGATCTTACACCGTGCTTCCAATATAGGTTCTAGATTAAGGCTCAGACACGTTTTCGCCGATGATTCTGTAAGTTTATGATGCAGTGACAAGGGGCTTGACTCCCCACTAAGTCCCCTAACGTTCTGTATGCTGTTTCTGGTACTCGAACTACAGAGAATAATTAAAGTAATAATTTGAGTTAACCCAATTGTGAAAAAACTCGAAGCCTTCGGCGGGATTTGAACCCGCCTATTAGAAAAGGCCTCTAGTGGAAGCCAACGCTCGAACCGCTAAGCTACAAACGCCCAACCTCGCAATCACACTTGGGTCCATATTACCCGCCCAACTTTGCCGCTTGTATGGAATCCACCAATACGGGACAGCAAATTGACTGCCCAAGCAGGATTTTCTAAGCAGGCATCTAGAATCTACCAGGATGACTACTAGGCTGACTTAAGCAAATCTGCCAAACCTTCTAATAAAGTAATAATGTCAGAGATCATTAGGTGTAGGACCAGGTTTTAGGTGATCCGGGCATGAGCTTTTCGGTCAGATCTTAAATGTCAATGAGCATTTGCTTCATCATGTAAAATTCATACTACTTGCAGTACTACGTGTTTATTTGTCTGAATTTTTGGATTCTGGCCTGAACCCATCATCAACGATAACCACAGAAAATAGTGCAACTGAAAGTTTAAGGTGATCACGGGGATAATATACTTATCATTCTAATGTGGACGAACAGATTTCTTCAGCTTTTTAAGGTGCCTATGGACCCGACGCCATATTTCTAGTAACACAATTTCCGCGTGTTCCCTGCATCTGTGCAGTCTGTTATTCTATACAGCTGCGAATGCTGGGCTATACGCGTGGAAAATGAACGGGAAGTGGATGTATTCGACTAATACTGCTTGAGGACCATCATTTGAGTAAAATACGCTGACTTCGTCTCAAATGAGACTGTCAGCACTCACTGCGAATGCATCGCATTGATATCCCGCGCCATCCAAGAAAGACGGATGAGGTGGTTTGGACACGTTTTTTGTCATCAACCTCACGAGCTGACTGTTACTGCTTTCAAACCAAAACCATCTCCCAATTGGAAACGTCGAAGTGGGAGTTAGTTCGAAACCTAGCTCGACTCAGTCTGTCAGGATATGGAAGTTGTTCTTGGACCTTCGGTATTCGGTCTCAGGTGCTTGTGAAGAGAATGGATTGGAGAGTCCAGGTCTGCTGCCACGGATCGTCGCGCGCGGAGATACACCGTACGGGACATAATCTATACCGGCTAGATAAGTCATGATAGCAACCGCAAGAAGTTCCGATGTCTAGTAAACTAGTCGGTCATCACACATTGGAGATGTTGCTAATATCCCTGTGGACGTATTAGTGACCACCAATGTTGCCAGCCCAGGTTTGTAATTAAGAAGGAGGTAGTCATTGTGGGTTGGCATATTTCGAACGGGGCTTTTGGGCAGATTACAAGCAGAGTAGGAATGTTTTGAATGGGAAATGCCCCTTTCGTTAGTACGTTTCCCGTCTTCACTGGTACGCTGCCTCGCTGTTGTCTCAGCAACGTGTCCACCCTCCCCCCGTCCGTTCCCATTAGGACACATCAAGGAGCATAAAACGGGTGGTTAATATCACGCCCTTCACCCCAATCTTCAAGTGTCTCCAACAGTACCTTGTCCTCCTGCTATCCGTGTGTGTTCCTGGAAGGCAAAGGCATGTACAGAAGATGGGCACAATTGTTCGGTACTGAATACATCGTCTCTATAAGTTTGAAAGATCGTAATAACCTAAAGGCAGGCTTCGCGTCGCAAAAAGTATACCAGACAGAATGGATTATAGACAAAGCTTCATTTCTGTTCTCCCGATCAGCTGAAAATGTTGTCTTAAGTCACTAGATGCCCTTGATCCCCACCGGCCGCAGAAGTCAACTGGGATTCTCGGCACACGCCACAAATATATAATAACATTCAATAGACAGTGAGTTCCCTAAATTAATCGCCCTCCTTCCATCGAATGTCCGTTAATCCTGAATAAATTTGTGGCTTAAACGCTGTTGACATTTCCTATGGATAAGCGTGTGCTGACCACAGGAATTCGAGGTTTGGCGTACACTGGCTGCCTCCCCGGACAAATCAGCTTAACTACGGGTCGTTGCAGCTAAACGGACTCTAGAGATGACGGAATGTTATAATTGCTTTAAATATAAGCATATCTATTATGAGTTGTTGTCCAATTGTTTTGACGTTTAAAAAGAAGAAGTAGATCACTTTGGTAATTCTTTGCCCAAAGTTAGTTGCCTGATTATTACTTTGAACAAATATCCTGAGAAAGAAAGACATTTGGCACACCCATACTTTTGAACGCTTTAATATGCTTTGATCATTTTTTATTGTAACCTTTATACAACTTAAGATGCACCCGAGATGAATCGAAATTACCTTAAAAAGCATGTGGATTTCTTTTGAAAGTCTGAGATGCTAGGAAAAAATAAAACATATTATAGGCATTTAACTTGTTTCCAAGGGTGAACTAGTTGTGTAAGTAGGATAATGTAGGATGATTTGTGTAAGTTTATTCTTCTCTTTTCGGCCTCGTTTGCGGCATGCGTCATTTGTGACAAAATTGCCAGGTTTGATCATTAAACTTGAAGTGTAGTCAAACTGACCCTCGTTGATGGGCGTTCACTGATGGCTAACAGAACTCATTCGTTCCACTCTATCTTGGGTCTCATTTCTCGGGCCCATCCTTGATATTTGCGTGGACGACAAGCTGCTGTGCGACTGCTGTCGGGCCCCGAGAAATGAGACCGAAGGCCGAGCGGGAACAGTGAGTTGCGTTAGCAATCGATGAGCGTTCATCAAGGAGTGTCAATATCTTCCGATCTAAACCGGCAAGACAATGAGTTTGCGGCTAAGTGGTTAGGGCGTTCAATTTTTTGATCAAAAGGTCGCGAGTTGGAGCCTCGGGTGGTCTACCACCTGGAGTTGGGTATGACTACCTGACGATGGCTAAGAAGCCAGAAATGGTGGCAATTCTAGTCTCCCTGGTCTTTGCCGGCCATACTTTACATAAAGCCAAATTGCTGCAAAATGAAAACAAAAACGTTAGAAAAATGTATTAGTGGAATCAGTTTGCCTAGGCAAACTCTCCTGGGTTAGGCTTTAAAGCATAAGTAGACACAGTGGCTTTTTTATAGAGGATGGGCGAAATATTCATACGACATTATATGACTCATAAGTTGTTCACGGTGGGCAACTCAAGATGTCTCAGAGGTGTTTCGGCAAAGTTAAATCAGTTTGCTATTACTCATTGGCAAAGACTGTAGTCAGCATTGAAGAGTGATCTCATGGAAGTGTCACTTGTCACTTCTATGTGGGCGTGCAAACCAATAGCAACCTTTGGTATGCGAAGATTTTGAAAACAAACACAAGAATGCTGCAATGACAGGGAGAGCAAAAGTAAATGTAGCGCCGCCCACTTACAGAAAACAATTAACTCTTTTCCTCCTTAAAGCAGCACTGCTTATTTGAACTAATTCTAGAGATTTAGGTTCAAAAACCTTGCGATCATATCACGATGGCTCGCGCAAGAATCCTACGATTCTTTCGTACAATTTTTTCTTGAATCTAGCAAATCGGAAGATATGCGTATCTACGCAACTCGTATCCCCTCGCCAAACAAAACTGAACATAGAAGACAACGAAAATGATTTTTGTTCAAGGGAGCTATTTAATTTATGGACAGCATGCCTTTTGGGGGGCTCTTCTGAACATAGAATATGTTTTGAGAATGGCATGTCAGTAGCTCGCTGACAGGAAACAAATATTCCAGGTAAACAAATATTCGCAGCACTGTTTCCCGAAACGAATGTAAAACCAGCGTAGACAGCAGAAGATTCATTGGACCCAATAAATTTTGCGACGCCTTTTCAACGGCATCCCGTCGTTGCATGAGAAGCATACAGCAGATTAAACCCCACAGAATGTCATTGTATAACAGCAAGTGTCATAGTTCTGGGTAAATAATGATCAACTGAAGGTTACTACATTAAATCCACATATAGCACGAAAAGGGGGGAAGGAAGTTAGCGCCAAATACGTCGAGATTAAAACTAGCCGCCTAATTACCAAGGTAATTGGAGATTCACCACATGGTGTAACTGCTTGAACAGGTCTTCGCCTGTTTTAAACAAACATTTATCACGTTATTGACTCTGTTGGATGAAGACGTAGCACTGAAGTGCTTTTCGCACTTAAGCCCCCCTTCGAAGCACTACTGTGACAACTGCAGCACTCACTCTTAGAAGGTTAGGCTCGCAACCAGCCAGATATAAACGAACCGAACAATGCTCTAACCATCAGCCATTGATATATGACCGACTCGGCCCTGGTGACTTGCAGACCGAAAGCTCATTGGTCTTTGTAAGTCAGAACCGATGTTGTGTATGCGATACAGGCTGCCTACCTGCATCCGTGACTTCTTTTAAACATCGGCGTTCGGCACATATACCACGAAGAGTAAGGGACGTAAGTGAACGGTGCTGCCTTCTGCTTGAAAATGTATGGGGCGATTAGAGATGAACAAATTCTGCACGATTTTGAGGAGATCGATCAAGACCACAACGGATTTATTACAAAGCAGGAACTCCAGGATTATGTTAAGAAAAATAAACTTCCAGAGGAAACAGTCGAAGTAAGCCTATGAGATAAATCTCTCCCGTGTATGCCTTTTTCGTCAACCTTTTTGATTCTATCCACGGACTGTTATGTTGAGTGACATATTAAAGAGGATGGCGTGAATTCTTGTCTGTTCGCCGAAGGTATTTTAATGGCTGAAGTACTCAGATGATTATCTTCTTCCCCACTTGGCAACCCATCAATTTGTAAATTTTTCGCCAGTTAAAAGTGAAAAAAAGATTGTTGTTATGTTAGGGAGAGCTGAAGTTAGTGTAATGCTACACGCTGATAGAAAACAATGGACATTTTACCTAGGAGTTGGCGTACTTGAATTTAAAATAATTCTGGTGGCTCACGCTCAAAAACTCCGCAACTGTCCCTTGATGACAAATGTAAAAATGCGAAACCTGTTCACTCCCGGATTCTGTAAATAAGATGTACTTATTGATGTAATCTGTAACTGTTATCCCGATGTGGCGCAAAAGTGGCCAGAGAAGACTACTGAAATTGTTTTGTTCGCAGTGGTTGCTTTTGTTACTGGCAATATGCCTTCAGGTATTTTTTAGTTAAGAATCTTTTTTGGAACCAGATATATTCAGGTTTTTAATTTCGCTACATGGAAATCGGTCTTCCGGTTAAACAAATATTTATCAAAGTTCCATGACTTTGCTAGTTAAACACGAACCCGGTAAAGGTGTTTACGTGAATTTTGATGTGACACCTGAATTACTCAGCTTTAGAAGGTTAGTCTCGCAACTAGCCAGACATGAAGCAACGAAAAGTGCTCAAACCGCCAGCCTTTGACATATTACAAACTCAGCCTTGCAGACCGAAAGCTCATTGGTCTTTGCAAGTCAGAACCGATGTTGTGTATGCGATACGGACTGCCTACCGGCGTCGGTGACTTCTTTTAAACCCCGGTGTTTGGCACATATATCACAATAGGTAAGGGACTTTAGTGAACCGTGCCTGCTGTCTGAACATGTATGGGGCCATAGGAGATGAACAAATTCTGCACGATTTTGAGGAGATCGATCAAGACCACAACGGTTTTATTACGAAGCAGGAACTTCAGGATTATGTTAAGAAAAATAAACTTCCAGAGGATACAGTCGAAGTAAGCCTTTGAGTTAAATCTCTTCCGTGTATGCCTTTTTCGCCAACCGTTTTTATTCTATTCACTCAGTATTTCGTTGAGTGACGTAGAAGACCGGCTGCTGGGAATTCCCATTTGTTGGCCGAATGTATTGTAGGTGCAAACTTAATTTAAAGTTTAGCTGTGTCCCGTTTTTGGAAGAAAACGTGTTGCTGCTTGTTAAAAGAGCGGCGTGGCCTTTTGGTGATGAACTTTATCAGAAAGTAAATACACTGAGTGGACTGTTGGTAGTACATTACTCACGCAGCTAGAATTCAGGCGATTTTTAGTAACTTCATTGATCGAAATCCTGAGATTTGAAGACAGAATTAAATTATTCATTTATAAATAATATGATAAATAGTGAACGAGTGCAGACCATTAGCATTCACTGTGAGATAGGTTTTGTATCGTAAACCTCGCTCATGGTCTAATTATTGGAAAATATATTCTGCTGATGAAGTTGGATTTCAAGTAAGCGCCGCTCTCTTCGGCTCTAAGTGGATGCGCCAACCAATGGCAGCCTTCGATTTTCTTGGAGCTTTCGCGTCTTTAAACCAAATAACAAGGATGTTGCAACGCTAGGGAATACCGAAGTAAGTTTAATGCTGTAAAAAACAGACGACATTTTATTCCTAGGAAGATGAGTACTGCTACGTCAAAATATGTCTGGTGGTTCACGCTCCAAAACCCAGCAAAGATTTTCCCTGAGTCATGCAACACTTCGAAACCAGTTTACTTCCGAATTCTGCAAGTGATATTTACGTTTGGGTGAAACCTACTTAGAAAAGCATGCGTCATAAATGATAATAATTACCTCGAGTGACGCAAAAAATACCACAGTAGCCTACAGATATTGTTTTATTATTTTAGTTAGTGACTACACGCCCTCAGTTCTATTTCGAATAAAGAGCATTTTTTTCTCGAACCACAGGTCGGGAGTTTTTAAATTTAGCTACACGGAAAAAGCAGGTTCCATTTAAAAAACCTTTATCAAAATGCTGTATCCTCGCTAGACAAAAACCTTACTGGTAAATGTGTTCAGACATATGAGTCACTTTTGATGTAACAACCGGATTACTCAACTTTACGCCACTAGAGCAGCAAATACCCAGACATAAAAAACGATGACTGCTTGATTCTCCAGCCTTTAGCCTTCTTACTGAATCAACCTTGGTGACTTTCATACCAAAAGCTCATTGGTCTATGCGAAAATGAACGTGTGCCCTGTGGGCTCTTGTGAGTGGCTGTCAACATTGGTTACCTGTTTGAAATCCTCGGGATCAGCTCATATAGCCAGGCAGATTAAGCGGCGAGCACTAAAGGGATCTTCGTTTGGAACAAAATGGCGGCTTTTGGGGGTGCAGATATTGGACGAGAGTTTGAGGAGATGGATAAAAACCACAATGGATTTATAACGAGGAGAGACCTCGAACAGTATGTTAAGCAAAATCACCTTCCAGAGGATACAGTCGACGTAAGCCATAGGATAAATCCCTACCTTGTATACTCTTTTTCCCCGGTACTTTTATTCTACGCAAGTCTTGCTTTTGCTTAAGTGAAGTCATTGTCTGCCACATATAATTAAGCGATTCCGATTTAAAAGTACCGGCACGCCGTTAGAGTTCAAAACCAATGTATGAAATCCACCACTGGTGACAATTCAGTGGTTTCAGGGAAAGCAGACTTTGAAAGTACGGAACCAAATTTAGAAACTATATTGAAAAAATGTAGGATTATACCATATTTTTATGTTTCAATGTTCTACGGCGTAAAGGAATATCAATAAATCTAAATAAAAAAAGCAGACTAGACATTAATATTCTGTCTATGAGGTTGTTCAGACGCAGTTCAAGTACGAACCTATATAATAACATTTGTGACCGTTAACCTCAAAGTGTTTTTGCGATTTTCCTCAGAGACGTGAAAGTCACCATGACAAAAAAATTCCTGAATTTTATCTTTAATAATACACGTAAATGACCTTAAGAATATCAAAGAAATTACCAGAAAATGTCCTTACATTTACACATGTAAGTTCTGTGTTGCCAACAAATACATTCCAATCGTCTTTTATTATAAAAAGGAAACAAACTACGGTTTCCTTTTCATTATTGCGGGCCGCGTTATCCAGTTAGTGTTTGGTAATATAAACATTTTAAGTTCACTAAAAGTGACTTCAAACACGTTTGACTGGCTAATCAGATCTGAAGGGAAACTAATTTTATGCGCCATTTTACGAATTTATAAATCACCAGAGGATTAGGTTTAAGAGCATCCCTTTGCGGTGAGTTTATCAAAGTCCAAAATATATCCCTTTATGAGTTGCAATAGAATTCACGACTTTATGGTTCATAAACTGAGTCTGACCTACTTCTAATGTTGTTTTCAAGACCATTTCAGCCCGCAAAAAAACAAGCTATAAAGACAGATTTATTACTTTTAAAGAAAAGGTCAACTAGAAAAGCGGTGCATACATTTTTATCTTTGTCTTTCATAGAGCACGCGTCTTTTTTCGACTTTGCGTCACATAAAGATATAATGCATAATCGAGAGCAAGGATTACAAGGTACAGATATTTAATAATGGACTGCAAGAGGGTCGTTCCTTGGCTCGTGTTTTATCTTTGATTTTGCAAGTTTGATAAAAAGGTTTTCCACGTATCGTAGCAAAAAACCAAATACTCATCCCTCGGGCAATGACATTCTCGACATTCTTCATTAATCTTTCACAAAATCATCAGCATCAGTATCCACTTCGCTTCTCTTTAATTTTCAACAAGTCGCCTTTGATATTGGAAGCATAGGTGAACATTAAATAAAATATATGCATCCAGGCAGACCTGAAGATTTGGAAGCCACTATTGGCACATGGATTTTATCGGTTCTGGATGGGAAAACCGTGTATCCGACGATTAAGCATTAAGAAAATCATTTTATTTCAATCATACAGGGACCAGTACAGGGCTATTTGCATTAAAAATTCAAATATTCAAATCATTCACCCTTCGGTTAAACCATTTTTACACTCAGCCTACTGTCGTATCCATGGTGATTACACTCATGAACACCTGTCTCTCACCATTTTTCCAGGCATTTTACGGCAGAGCATCGTTTGATCGACAGAAATTCAAGCAATCCAGCTCTTGAACTGCGAACTACAGCTAACGAAAAATAATGTAACTCATTGGCCAGAAAAATTTGCTGAAATCCACCAAACCATGGCAGTTTATAGGCCACAGCCGCACCCGGAGAATAGTCGCAACAGAAGACCTCCAGGTCAATTTCAGTCCAAATAGACACACCCTTAAGCCTGGAAGGATCCTATGCTTCACATCTAGTAGTTAAAAAGCAGCTGCACCGTGCAAGGTGCATTTTTTGCTCATTCCACTACAACTGCAAACAAATCATTCAAAAGCAAGTCATCAGATGACAGCAATCGTGTTGACAAGCCAAGTGGGCTTTGAATAATCTACTTAAGACCGATAGAATTTCCTAGGCTAGAAACCTAGAAGGAGGGCAGTTAGGTAACAAGCAGAAAATATTCCAGCATAAGGTAGGTGAATCCCACCCCACGGAATAATACATTCGTAATAATGCGATAAAGAAAAAGAAGTTTAATGCCTCAAGCAAACTTTCGAAAGTACAACATAATTAATATATTTATGACTTTTCCCAAGACAAACAAGGATTCCCTGCAGCATACTGGCCGACAACTTAATCTGAGCTAATCTAAAAATTTGTAGCATATGCACTAAAAGGTTTACACAGAGAAGATCTAACCTCTTCTCATCCAATACGTCTTTTGGTACACAATGAGAGATATATTGCATTTGCTGTTTGCTGTGTTGCAAATGAGATGAATCCCTGTCTCCTTGAGTTCCATGCAACGAAACATAAAAAAAGCAGAATACTTCGAAAAAATAAAATATAAGATGAGGTTCCTTAAAATGAATCATAGCGCTGTATTGACGAGACCCCTTTCAAGTCTGAGATTTTTTTCAGTTGCACGAAACGCCTTTTTCTCTCATTAGTTCTTCAAAATGTTTTTTCCTCTGACAGAAATGGTTCACCTGGTTCGATATGGATGGTACCGGACGTATAACCGTCGAAGAGGTTTGTACAACCCTCGGGATTGGAATGAGAAAGAAATACCAGTAAGTGAATACGGAGAGTTAATTGATAGGAATCCCTAGGTCTTTGGCTATCTCCTTTTCTACTATTTACACTTCGACTTGAGGACGGTGTCATTTAACGGGAAGCGTCAATATATAAGTGCGTTAGCCATATTTAGATTGCAAGTAATCAGTCACGTTCCGGAGAGGAATTACAAGATATTGGCTCATCATCTGTCTGGCTAAAGCATAGTTTGCTTTCTGATGTAAATCACGTTTGGAAAGCCAACTTTAAAACTCTATCCAAAACTCTAGAGTGATGTTCCACCGCAACCTTAATTGCCGACTCCAATTTTATATAAACAATTAGTTGATGTACCCTCGTGTTCAACGGGCAAGTCAAGTACCACTTGCAATCCATGCAACATGCATGCATTCCATAATGTCATAATAACTGATTTCGCCAAGCGACAACTCCTCCTTGAATGAAACTCCCATGCCATCTTTGCCATATGCGGCACTGATATGCGGGTTTCTAACGTATTTCCAATCCTCTCAAGATTGAAAGGGAAAAATAAGCATACTAGAATATTGCTAAAATGCATACAACCATCAAATATGCACACGAAACGTGTAAATTTATCTGAGACTGCGACTCACCGTAAGGCAATCAATTGCTGCAGATTTAGGCGTCAGGCTACGTGGGTTAAATAACAGGCTACGAATGCAATTAATAACGGTTTTCAGGGAAAGGGTTGCGTTTTGAAAGCAACAACTGGTCGCAAGTTATCCCACAACAATTTCTTAGATAATTAGCATGACGCCCAAGTTTCATAGCCCAATTTTAGAGCACCGCATTGTCAAAGTTGGAATCGAATGCCCTACAAATGTCCTTATTCGATTTCCCTGTCATGCTTTTCGATTTATTAAATTTTAATCCAAAAGTAACGATTTAAGTGTTAGCACGTAAGTGTATTTTCATTTCGAGTGTGATGCGCTGTCACTGGTTACGTGAAGATTCAAAATTCAACACACAACATTACCATGAAAAAACTCTAGCCAGTATCGGATTTAAATTAAAATTATCGAAAGTGCGGCAGGTCATTGTCGGTCACAGGAGGGAAATGTGCAATAGTATATAATGTAAAAATATGACAGAGTGGAGTGGGAGTATGCAAGGATTCACATTTTTCATTAGAATAGCTTAACACTTGGCGCTGAGGCAGAGCACTTCTTTCCCATTTGTTTATTTGTAAACTCACTTTTGCAGCTTCTCCTCCGACTTGTTTTGTTTAAAATCAATATTTCTGGTTAAGCTTCCGTATGGTCTTGGGTCAACTGACCGTTTTTGATTCTCATATTTTAGAAACCACTTAACCAGCAATTCAGATTTTATGTGAATTTGACGATACGAATATCAGTTAGGGATGCCGCTCAATTCAGAAACATATGGATGCATAAAATCCTCGAGACTACTGTCCTTTGATTTTGAAATAACCAGTCTCAATTTTAAATAATTTACGAATCAAAATGGATTAAATTGTGATACAATAGCTACAAAATTTAAAAAAAACGTTTCCTTAAGAAAAGGTCATTTATCGAATGTATAGTTAACCTCTGATGTAAGGAGCTCTGCGATCGCGAAGGAATCGTCACAGTCGGGAAAAACCAATCGCAGTGTTCGAAATTTTGATGAGGGTAAAGCCAAGTAGGAAATAATTTAAAGCTGTTCGTGACAGTTTAAAGGAGGCAGGCATAAGCAAAGAATAATATCTTATGGGCTACCTTCCGGAAGGTTAATTAAATACTGACAAAAGTTACTCAATGCATTCAGATTTGAGCGGTTTTTAGGGAAACAAAAGAGAGCGATGACATATGTGGATAGCGAAAGGCATCCTAAAAAAGAAACTAAGTCTGATTATGGACAAAATTCCAGTAGGCAGCCAAACTTCTATCAGAATGAGGCGATTACACTTTTTTATTTGCATATTGACGTTGCCAGACACAGAAATTATGTGGTACTAAATAACATACGGAGAACTGTGTGCTATTCTAGTGAATAAGAGTTTTTTGTCATTAGGATGCTCTTTTCTATATGGTAGAAATAAGTTCGAAGCAAGTACGATGAGTATTTCTTCGAGTAATTTGGCGAAGTGCGCATTGGAACAGTGCGCATTGAGAAACAGATAGACTTTTAGCCAATCGTAAAATAGGGATTTGTTCCAATGGAAATAATGGTAAAAAAGAGGCTGAAAATTAGGAGTCTTTGCCTTAACATGAAAATGCCATGCGTAAAAAGAGGGAAGCACTAAGACCGCATCAAGCCTGCAAGGACTAAACATCTA